ACGTGAGGAAGACGCTCTGAAATGGGAAGAGCTTTGTACAAGGACAGCGCGACGGGGCCCCAGCGCGATGGGTAAGGCATCCTGCTCTTAGGAAACCAATGCTACTCACAACTGCGCACGTGAAACGGAGATTCGGACCGGGGAAACGCTCTGTTAGACACACGGCTGTGTGGAAGGAGATGTCCCTGATGCATTACACATGGCCAGACCCCAAGGCAAGACCCGAGCTGTGGCCCCCCACCTCGCACCACGCGCGCCACGGGCATTCGCTTTCCCTGCATCTCACGCGCCACTTACAAACCACTTTGCAGGTCGGAGTGGGGACGCTCCTGCTGCACACGCAGCATCTCGCCGCTAAACCTGCTCCTGGGCACCTCTTTGAAGGCTGGCGGCGAAACGCCGCCTACCTGGTGTTTATGCACCTAAGTAAATACGCGCTGTCCCCCGAGAACGCCCGTCTGCTCGGCTTGGCTCGCGGGTTTTTTTTGTGGCGCCCCCGAGCCTGCCAGCAGCGCCGGCGGCGCGCGGTGCCATTTCGGAGCACGCGTTTACTCCAGCGACCGCGGAAAGGGGATTCTGCCCGGGAAGCGTCTCCCGTTCGCATTTCCCTGTGTCCGCCTTGCACATATTGCTTTTACCTGGGGCCACGCGCTGCTTAATTAAAACATCCGCTCGCTGGCTGAGCACTGCTGCAAAGCTGAGCGCAGGAGCCCGCGGGCTGCACGCAGGGCCCCCAGCAGTATTTGGCACCAAGAAACCCCAAACCGTTGGGATTGGAGGACACCCGGAGCAGAGGGAAGCTGCGCCGCACACCCATGACAACTCTGCTCTATGGCAAGATCATCTCCACACAAACAACAGGCTCTCCCCTTCATCTGAGCATCCTGCCTCCCTCTCCACAGCAACACATGCACACAGAGAACACTGAATGCAGGACCGGAGCCTCCACAAGAGCCCGGATCTCTCCGCAGAGGCCTAACGAGAGGTTTGGGAAGACCATGAGGTTCAAGGGTGTCCACATGCTCCAGACCCTTACAAGACTGTTCCATGAACACAAGCAAAGACCACGAGAGCTCGCTGCAACACGTGGCAGCTCTGAAACCCCCAGCCAGCTCCTTCTGGACATTTGCTTTGTAAATTAAAGGCTCGTACGCCAAAGAGCCGCAGCGCCAGCTCCAAAAACCACATGCACGAGCCCCATGGCTCCCACGATGCCAATAAAAGCGGAGGCAACGCGAGGCGGGCAGCCGCAGCGGGACCGCCTGCTCGGCGGCGGGTTCGGTGCGGGAAGTCGCCGCCGGCACGGCGCGGAGCTGGCCCGGATGCTCTGCGGCGGGAGAAGCTGGGACGATGCTCTGAGGATGCTGCAAGCGGGCACGGGACACCGCGCGCAGAGAGGGCCAAACTGCCAGCAGCGCCTTTGGCGGACGCAGGACTTGTAAGACAGGGTGCCAAGGAGAGGGTGACAGCACAG